TTTATACTCTCAGGGTTAAGAGTAGGTCACTGTTGCATGGAGGGCTGCTTGTTGGTTCCCGGCCGCCAGCCTAGCTTAGACCTGAAATAATCACACAGAAACTATATTAACTAAATCACTACTTGGCCCATTAGCTCTAGCTTCTTATTGGCTAACTCTTACATATTAATTTAGCCCATTTCTGTTGATCTGTGTATCGCCACGTGGCAATGGCTTAACCAGCAAAGTTTCAGCATGTCTGACTCTGGTGGCTCCATGGTTTCTCTCTGACCATGCCTCCTTTCTCCCAGCATTTACTTTAGTTCTCCCGGCCTAGCTCTGTTCTTTTGCCCTATCACAGGCCAAGACAGTTTCTTTATTCCTTTACCAATGAAAGCAGCACATAGACAGAAGGACCTCCCACACCAGGTCACCTGAGTAAAGTTCACAATCACAAGGACAAGCTGCATGAGGTAAAACCATGTTTTTCCATGGAGGCACATGAATAGCAACAGCTGAAGGGAGCTCACTCCTATCTGACACACCTGGGCAGGGCACGAAAACACACTCCAAGAACAAGTCTGTGCTCTGAAGACACTGAGGTCACAAGACTCGAGTCTTACTTTCTTCCAAGCACTCAGAAATCTCCTCACAAAGCTCCATTCTGGGACCGTGTTCCCACACACAGCCATTGTCGCTGTCTTGGTAAGAAGGAAGATAGCTTGAAAACGAAGTTCTCGTGCTACCAGAGTATTAGATCAATGGACCCCCAAAAGTTGAAATTTCCCTGAGAATCTGGTGTTGATAGAAGGGAAAGGCTCAGGCCCTGATGCCAGCCATAGAAGAGACCTCATGCAGTTCTGACAACTGAACAGATCATCTCTCAGGATGACCAGAGTGAGACAATGATGGGCCAAGCACGAGTATTGGACCGGGACTTCTTAGTGATTTACCTCATACCCTCTAGATAAACCTAAACCTCATATTAGTACCCTGAGACAGACTTGAGGTTACTGGACATATGTCTTTGTTTCTCTTCCTGCGGTGGCCACATTGAATAAATCCTGTTCTGCTCTACACATTGCTCTTTCTTTAACTGCTGTGCTGGAGACAGGAGCCAAACCGTGCTTGTTGGGAATGCCAGAGTCCAGGTTTGCACCCTAAAAAGTCCAATATCTCTGCACTCCCATGTGTCTTCTGTCTTTCTTGTGAAACCCCCACATAGCCCCTTCCTCCCTGGTGCTCAGTCAGTACAGCATTTTAGAAGTTACCGTGATGTGCTGCTTGGCTGGGCTTCCTTCCACTCAGAGCTCTGAGCTGAGATTCACACAGTTACTGCCTCGAATTGGACTGTGTCTCTCTGTGACAACATGCTCATCCATTCATCCAGGGGCCATGCAGGCAGGGGGCAAGGTCAGGCTGTTCAACGCAGAGCTTCCGGGGGGTAGTCCCCACCGTGTGGGTGCATGCTCTCACTTCTCTTCGTGGGCAGACTTGGTGGGTTAGAAGGGTTAGAATATGTTGTGATAATCTAACCTCACACAATTCTGTAGCTGGAAAACGCAGGACCAGTTTTTAAACCCTCTTCATAATATTGTGAATGTTGATGAGAGTTGTTCCAGGTGTCATTTTGCCTGGACTGAGGGACACCATCATAGCTCCAAGGGCTAATTTATGGGAGGGTGTCCTCAGGAAATTAGAGTAGAAAGGGGAATGGCCTCCACCATTAGTCATAGTGTACAGTGCACAAGACTTGCTGGAAATGGCTGTGCTGTTTTTATGTGCTATCACACAGCTTGTTATTTTAGAACATGCCCTTCTACCTACATGAGTTTCCTGTACAGAAAACCATCGCATCCTCATCCGTCTCCCTCATGCCATCCCGATGCTCAAGGCCCGGGCCTGGCTGCAGCAGGGCCTAACTCCACGGGGAGCAATTGTCTGGAACCCGAGTATTTTTAAAACGTAATCTAATTTAGATTTCCCAACAAGCAATCATGAGAGATGAATAAATCTGTCTTCTGCTGGCCTGAAGATAATCAGAGAGACCTGTAAATCCCTTGACATTTGGAAGGTAACTAGGCAGTTATGACAAAGGCACACGCTTCCTCGCCAGACCCAGATTCCTTCCTGTTTGCAATAAAGTATTTACCATGGCCTTGGGCTTCCTGCCTGGACTTCCTTTCCGTGAGCTAGGGCTCAGTTGTTGCCTGAAGGACAGGTCTTCTAGCCGCTCCCACATCCAGGAGCAAGCCCTGCCTTCAGAAGACTCCAAGAACCACAGAGTCCGAAGCAGACAGGCCTGGCCCTGGTTGCGTACCTACTGTGTGCCTCACACCGCAACAACACTTCTCATATACCGCCTATTTAATCCTCATGTGTGTATTAGAATGTACACACACACACACACACACACGGGCTCACACGTGTATCAGAATGCACACACACACTGCTCACACATAAGACTGGCTCTTAGTTCCAAGTCTACATGGAGACATGCCTCAGTGGTGAGTGACAGCTGAGCAGACGCACATCTGGCGTGATCCGCACATTTCTTCCTGATATCCACCCTAGACCAGGGAGCTTTACGTGACCTCCTTTCCACTCTTATAACTGCGCCTCTTTTAGTCGCTGTCCTCAGCATCTTCTCTCGACTCCAGGAGTCTCTTCCTGGTTTTAAAGAGGCTGCCACTGCCTGTGAATCTTTGCCATCCCTGTTTTCACTGCTGTTCATTTCTGCTCTGGGTTTAGGCTTTGGAGAAACCGGAAAGGGAAAGGCTTTTGAAAATGTCCACTGTCCCTCTGCCATAAGCTCCTCCTGCTACATGAACCTCACAATAATGAAATGCCCTGCCTTGTGTCTGGCTGGCTGTGCAGCCCGCTCTCTTGGTGCATACTGAGGTCCTTGGGCCATTTCAGGAGAAGGGAGCTGGCCTAGGTGACCAGGAAGACCAGAGCGCTGAGACTCAAGGGTTCTCTTTCAGGAGTAAAAGAGATGAGAGCCGTCAGTCCTATAATCAGACCAGGTCTCCTAGGAGGTTCATTTACCCCATGTCTTCCTTCTTAGATGGAGTCTGGATCAAGAGATACTAAAAATGTACTGGAGGATGACCCGTTTTGTTGCCCCCAGACTCTGGGTTAGCCTCTACCACCTGTGGCTAAGAGCATTTAGAGGCCAGCGCTCTGGGTGAGCCTTCACCCACCTGGCTCTGGAGTGAGGGCTCAGAGCCCCACATCCGTCAGATTGCTAAGGCCCCCAATGATGTGAGGAGACAGGTGATGGCTGGACCCTAAAACAAGGACACAGGCTTCATCTGCTCTCAGCATCAGCCACAAAACTTGGGGTCACCTTCCCCAGGCATATCCGCAGTTTGGCCTTTCCCCACAGCTATTTGGATGGAGATGGCCGGAGCCCTTTGTCATCTGCCGGCTCAGGGCTGAGGAACTGGGTGGTGCTGACACATGCAAACCCTCCTGAAACTAAATCGCCCATGAAATGAAGCTGGAGATGAATAATGCAGCCCCAACATCAGGGAGACGGAAGCAGCCACGCTCCTGCATGGACAGGTGGGAAGTGAGCTCAGCAATGAGATCTCCGTGAAGACATGAATTTTTTAAATTAATAACATTTCAGAATGCTGTTAGAAGGATTTGGCCGTGGTGACACATGATATAACTCATTCTGGCTGAAAGTCACAAGTGAGTCTCTGGTGGCTCACATTTCCACAGGACACGTGACACCCCACTCCCAACTCATCCCACTGAATGGGGTCTTTCCTGGCAACCATCAATTTGTACGATTTCTCCTGGTTTAGCCAGAGAGTCTATGAAGCACCCTATTCAGCAGCCCTATCCCATTGCTGAAAGGAGAGAACACATGCACTGGCCGGCCAGGAAACAAGAGCCAGCCACTCACTAGGCCTGGGTGCCCAGAGCGTATCAAATATTGACCTGTCAAGGAGGACAGGCTAGGGCAGTGAAGGACAGCAGGTACAAGTTCTGCTTACACCCTATGCCATGATCCTGGTTAGGACCCCTAGCCCACTGGTCTTGGCATCGAAAAACATCGCTATGTAACGAGGGCTTTCGAGCTGGTTTTTAGACATTAGATCAAACTTCATCTTGAATGTCTCAGCAATCACATTTATTTTCAGTTTTTGGCATCATGTTCTCAAGGATGTCTCCCTTCCTGCCCTTCTTCCAGGGGCTGTGATTCCTGGCCCCTGGAGGAACATGGTACACAGGTCCGAGCAAAGAAGACAGACTCTAATGTGACAGAACGGGCGTAGAAGGATGATGTCCCAACATTCCTCGGAGACTTGATTCAGCAGAGCTCATGTCCAGGATGGTATGTATCTGACAGACCCATAGAGGATGTCAACTACAGAAAAATCAGCAGCGGGCCACAGTGTAACAATCCCCTCTAGTAGACTGAAGTGCTAATATGCCCATCTTTGGCTCATGGGACAGAAACCCAACCTTACCCCAATTCATTTGGTGGGGGCGTGGCCATGTCCAGCATCCTGAGTGATGAGTTCAGCAAATCTTTCTCCACCTGTCTCATGCCTGTGTGGACACCCCATCCTGAAAGTCCCTTTCATGGGCTCTAGGGGATATCTCCATCCTTCTGCACACCCCACCTATCTTGGGTTGGCAGAATGTTCTGTTCTAATCTCTACCTTGAAAGTATGCACATACTCTAGAACCTGAAAGAAAGACACACACGTGCAGATACATGACATCAGAGGACCACCAAACATGATGCCTACCTGAAGGCTCCAGGGGCCACACCAGGGCCGAGGAACAGGAAGTAGCGCCAACTTGCCTTAGAAACTTCATCATTTGCCCCCATCTCCCCATCTCCACAGTCCTGTCAACGATCCTCATTCACACCATCCAGGGGCTTAGCTGTACTTACCTGAAGAAGTGCAAAAAGTATGTGTCTTAGTCAGTGTTCTATCGCTGTGAAGAGACACCATGACATGGCAACTTTAATAAAGGAAAGCATTTATTGGGGCTTGCTTACAACTTCAGAGGTTTAGTCCATTATCATCATGGCAGATAGCATGGCAGCACATAGGCCAACTGGTGCGATCCACAGGCAACAGGAAGAGAGAGATACGGGGACTAGCTTTAGCATCTGAAACCCCAAAGCCCACCCCCAGTAACACACTTCCTCTAACAAGACCACACCCACTCCAACAAGGCCACACCTCCTAATCTCTCTCAAGTAGTGCTACTCCCTAATGACCAAGCGTTCAAATATTTGAACCTATGGTGGTCATTGCTATTCAAACCACCACTTTCCACTCCCTGGCCCCCAAAGGCTTGTAGCTATATTTTAATACAGAAAATGCACTCAGTCCCACTTCGAAAGTCCCCGTAGTCTATCACAGTATCAACCCTATTTAAAAGTCCGAAGTTCAAAATCTCTTCTGAGACTCACAGCATTCTCTTAAGTATACACCCCTGTAAAATAAAAATCAAAACACATATCACACACTTCCAGCATACAATGGCACAGGATACACATTACCATCTCAAAACATAGGGAAGGGAGCATAGCGAGGAAATACTGGACCAAAGCAAGACCAAAAACCAGCTGGGCAAACTCCTAACTTGGCATCCCCATGTCTAATGTCAATGGGCCCTTCAGATCTCCAACTCCTTTCAGCTTTGTTGACTGCAACACACTTCTTTCTCCCGGGCTGGTTCCGCTTCCTATTAGTACCTTGCCTTGGCAGGTATCCCACAGCTCTGGCATCTTCAAAATCTTGGGGTTTCCAAGGCAATCCAGGCTTCACCTTTACAACTTCAGGCAATGGCCTCTCTGGGCCTCCATGCAGGGACACCATGGATGCACAGCTGGCCTCAGCAGCCTTCCTTAGTCACAGAGGGAGATTCCACACCTCTTTCTTCTGTCCTTGACTCTAAACTACATGGCTGAAGCTGCAAAGTTCTGCTGTTTGCTGGGGCTGGAACATGGCCCCCTATTCAACTACATCTCTTGTTGATCACTTCCTTTACTTCTTAAGATTTCTTTAGTTGCTTTTCACAAGTTGCAAGTTTAACTGGGTGGAGTCTTGCCCTGAGGTCACCACTCCCTTTATTCCACTTAGCATCAGGCTTTTCTTAAATCTGTTTATTTCCTTGAGCACAAGACTTAGCTCCATTACACTTCCTGGTGCCAACTTTCTCCTCAAATTGTACATTTTGTATTTTTCCTTGCTCAGTTTGCTCTTTTTCATTATAGATATGCAAACACGTGGCCACTGATAACCACATGTCATAGTCAATAATGGGCTGTTTAACATCTCCTCTGCCAATGCCATCAATCCCAAACTCTTATATTTAGCTTCAGGCAGACTTTTCAGACAAGGGCAAAAAGCAAGCCACATTATTCACCAAAATATCACAAGAATACTCTCTATGACACTTACTCACATGCTTCTCCTCTGAACCCTCCTGAGTCAGTCCATCATAATCTAAATTTTTCTGGCACCACTGTCTTCCACACCCCTACCAGGATGGCCCAGTAAACCTCAAAAGCATTCAACTCAGTTACTTTCCTAATCCAAAGTCCCAAAGTCCACATTCTACAAACAAGCAGTGTGGTCAGGTCTATCACCGCAATACCCAGCTCCCTGGTACCAACTTCTGTCTTAGTCAGTGTTCTATTGCTGTGAAGAGACACTAAGACCATAGCAACTCTTATAAAGCAAATAATTTAATTGGAGCTTGCTTACAGTTTCAGAGGTTTAGGACATTATCTTCATGGCAACATGTCAGCAGACATGCTGCTGGAGAAATAGCTGAGACTTCTACATCTGGATCAACAGGCAGCAGGAAGAGAGAGATACTGAGCCTGGCTTTAACATTTGAAGCCTCAAAGCCCATCCCTAGTAACACACTTGCTCTAACAAGGCCACACCTACTCCAACAAGGCCACACCTCCTAATCTCTGTCAAGTAACTCCACTCCCTAATGAACAATATATGAATGGAGGCCATTCACATGTGGGGGCCAATTCAAACCTATTCAAACCACCACAGTGTGTGTGTGTGTGTGTGTGTGTGTGTGTGTGTGTGTACCATCTTGTCTAGATCCAGAAGTCTACTTTGTATCAATGTAAAACTCTAAAGTTAACAGTTTATTCACTGTTAGCAAAATATCCACTATAGCAAAATACCACAGAGAGGGTAATTTGTGAGGAGGTTTATTTAACCCAGTTTGGAAGCTGGAAAGCCAAGATGAGTGACCCCGTTTGTTTGACCTCTGGTGATGGCACAATAGACTCACTGAGAGCACACACAGCTGCGAAAGAAAATGTAGACAGACAGGAAGCCTTGGGGCTCAGAGGTCAGACTCACATCTGCAGTGGAACCCATGCTCTTACAGCCCAGACAGAAATCCACAGAATTAGCCAAGCCTTTCCAAAGCACTGCCCCAAAGACCAGCTCTTATGCTCCATCTCTTAAATGTCCCATACTACCTAGATTACCTCACAAGAGGTACAACTTCCAAAACACAGAGCTTTGGGCACACACTAAACCTTCATCAAACCGTAGCCAGAGACTTGGGCACTGAGCCTCCCAGACCTCTTGTGATGACTTTGGGTTTGGGAAGAGTTTCAGGGCCTGCTATAGAATGTCACAATCCTTGATAACTATTCCTATAATTATCAATAATGTCCATAAAAAGGAATAAAATTCAAACTCAGTTTGAATACAATACTGTAAAAGCTGACATGTCCCTACTGCTCATAGTGGGATCCTGTCCTTCTCCAGATGACCTCCAACTCCCAGAGTCCTCTCTGTCTAGTCTCAGGTGCCTCCTCTACCTCTAACCTCCTGAGAGTGAAGAATTATTAGAGTTCATTGCAGAATGAATGTCACCACAGTGGTATATCTCCGAGTGGCCAAAAGTGAAACAGTTCTCAACATGTTGGTGACCTGAGTACAAGACAATCTATATCTCACAGGGCTTCCAGGTGGGCTTCCGGTCCTAGGGATGTCTCCTCATCTTGGGTAAGGAAAAGTCCTTTCCCTTCCACAGGCCTGCATATCAGCATCCAAGACATCCTACAACTAGTAATGATATGCTGTCTTCTGGAAGGTTAGAGCCAAGGGGGCCTGGCAACTGTCAGAACCACAGTGGGTGACCTGTAGCTCCCTGGGATCGGTGTCCAGGCAAGACCTGAGCTCTAGGACCTAGGCGTTTATAAACTGTAGAGGTAAGGAGGGACCATGGCAATGGGGAAGCTCTCTAGGCTGAAAGTTACTGTCCCTGAGAGAACATCTACGGTGGAGGTCCCTTAAACCCGTCAAAGAAATCTCTAGGAAGAGGAGTTGGCTAAAATCTCTACCCAGAGAGCACAGAGCAAGCAGTTCATCTTTCTCCACTCAGCACCTCCCCCTGGCGAAGCTAGCAGTGCCCTGTGTGTACGGCCAAGAACATGGCTGCTGGGTGTCTGTGCTCTCTAACAGCCTTAGGATGTGTCTCTGAGTGACATGACACTCAAGCTTACGTATGCGAGCAGGCCCGAGTGAGGAGAGCCCTCCCCTGACCAAGAGACACGGAAAAGCAAAGCAGCATTGCTCCCAATTCCATCCCTGCTTGATGGGTCTGCGATAGACTGGGTAGATTTAGAGTTTTAAAAAAGACCTACAGAGCATCCAATTAAATATGAATTCCAGACAAACTATGAAGTTTGAGTGGAAGTATGTCCCAAATACTGCTGGGACATACCCTGGGAAAGTGTTCACTATTTGTCTGAAATTTAAACTGGACTGGATGTCTTGCTCTTCTGTCTGTAGCCCAGGGTGAGGGAGGACCCAGGACAGAGCTTGTGAAGTCACACAGATTCTACTGTCAGATCCATGAGCTCTAGGCAGGCCAAACAGGGATGATAATTAGTGTACCAAGGACTAGGCCTCCCCAGAACCTGCTGTGGCTGCGGAAACCCACCCTTTTCCACGGATGAGACAGCCAAAGTGCCAGGGTCTTCAGCCAGGAGCTGTTAAATGAGCTCCCAAACATAAATAAAATACGCACGCAGCCCTTGATACTTGTGAGATGCTCTACAGGATGGAGGGAGGTGGGATGGTGGAGGGTTTGCCTTTATATACATCACTCAGCACTAATCAGCCGCAGGAGGCTCCAGGCCATGGTCCAGAAGGTATGAGCACGGACAACCCCAAGACCCTTCCAGAGCACCCCACAATTCCAGTGTCAGGTTCTCTGAGAAGAGCAGAATCCTGGCACAGACTTCTTCAGCATCCAGCATTAGTCCCCGGGATATCATGTGTGCAAGGCGCATCTATAGCAATATCTGGAATCCTGCACAGTGCAGCTGGCCTGGGGTTTATTGGTGGCATGCTCTCGACAGATGCTTGTACCCTCACGCAACTTGGGAGATGCTGGTCGAGGGTTGTCATCCAGTGCTGGCTTCATCCAGCAATCTTCCAAAATGACCCGGTACATGAAGGTCACCTTCCCTCATAAACAAGAAGGGGGTGGCAGAACAAAGATGGCCTGGGAACACGACACCCACTACAGGTGTAATGACGGTGTGAAGACTCAGCCATACATCATACATGACATTAACATGTAAAGACTTGGGCTCCCTACCACATGTGACATGACTATGACGATTTGAGTATATACCATATGAGGTATTGACTGAGAACAGAGACCGCAGCTATCTGAGGTAGCTGTCTCTGTTCTTGAGAGGAAGCAATGACTCTCAGCTAAGACCAGGTCCTTTTAGCCTTTCTACTCCCTGAAGATTCACTAGCTCCAAACTGGGGTTTGTGGAGCAGGTGGTGACCCGGTAAAGGCAGCTGAGAAGGCAGGAACCAGGCAAGGAGAGGTTCAGCATGGACCCCCAGAGTACAGGCCTGCCCTGAAATGTACTAAGACATCCATGCTGAACGTGGGGTTCTCAGCATCCACGCTCCTGGCCACACATCCTACGCAGAGGTTCTTTGAGAAGTTGTACCTTGCTGTTCAATCTGTGGTGGCCTTTTTGTATCTTCTGGATGAAATAGGACAAAAGAGTTGGTCTGCCATGTCTGTAGGGTATAGACAGAAAGTCTCACTTGCTCCACAAGGAGACACAGTTGCACGGTGTCGCGGGTGGAGTGAGCACAGGCTGACACCAGGGTCGCATTTTTCCCATGAGCTCAGTACACTTTCCTCTCTGCACACAGGCAGCTCCGTGCTCTCCTCAGACACTTGGCTAAGAGATGAGACACATTCCCGACTTGGCTGTAGGGGCTGCCTCCTCCACGCTGATTCCCTTCATGTCATCCGGCATTTGACCATCTGGGCGCCACACATTCAGGTCCCCAAAAATACCAGTCTCGATCATCTCCTCCTGCCAGGGAATGGAGCAGTTGCCAGAGGCAAATTCTTGGAAGAACTCTGTGTCGGTTTTATCAAGAACCACACCCTTGACGGTGGAAAAGGCACCCACATCCTGTATGTTCTTGGCATAGACAGTCCTAGAGTCTGGGATGAACGGAGGGATCAGCATCCCTGTGAAGAAACATGAAACAGACCAGAGATACCCATGGTGAGGACACTGCTGGGCCAAAGGGTCCCCACAAACGCACATTCTTCTTCCTAAAAGCTGGCAGAAACCAGCATCCCAAAGCAAGCAGCCCCATCCCTTGTGCTCACAGAATGGATGATGGACAGAGTGGAATATGCCCAGATCTGGATAGAAAGGTGTGTGTGTGTGTGTGTGTGTGTGTGTGTGTGTGCGCGCGGAGGCTGGCCTGAAGTCACAATCCTCCTGCCTCAGCCTCCCCAGTGCTGGAGCTACTATGCCATCTAGGAAGCCTTTCAACAGAAATCCCAGAACTTGCCTCCTATACCTTCCTCAGACCCTCTCCCCAAAGTCCCCTTGTGAGCATCTTGAAAACAGGGCCTCAGTCCCTCACATAGCAACCGCACCCAGGCTTGGAGCTCTTGCCTGGCCCCAGGTAGGCATCACCATGATGTATGTTGAACTGAACTCTGCATCCTCCCTCCCCAGAAACTACAGATGCAGAATGCTGTTGTTTTTACAGAGCCCAGGTGGTGCTCACCTAGTCACTGGCTCTGGCTTCCTCTGAACATTTGAGCCTACCCTGTAACCCTGCTGAACATAAGCCACTAACTCCAGCTTCCCAACAGGCCTCTGCTGGTCCAGGCAGTGTGTGGGCACCCAAGTGTAACCTCTTGGCCTGACTCAACCTTCCTGGGCCCTGCCACTCCCTTGCACCTCAGAGACAGTCCTGGACCTCCTGATCCAGAACCCTTCCTTTCCTCAGGGCCTCATCATGAAGGCTCTGCCAAGAACAGAGCTCTTCCACCCAAAAGTCACGTCTCTCAGGAGAATCTTCTCCTCCTCTCTGTGGATCCTAGCTCATCCTGTAGTTGATCCTAATTATGTTGAAAATGCCACCTGGCTCTTCCCCTCCCACAGATTCCTATAGGGTGACAGTATGCCTTTAGTCACCCTTGAAAATACACACACATATACACACATAGGGTACACACACACACAAAACATACATACCACACCACACACACAGGGTACACACACACAGTGTACACACACACACAACATACATACCACACCACACACACAGGGTACACACACACACAACATACATACCACACCACACACACATAGGGGTATACACACACAGAGGGGTATACACACCATACCATACACAGATATTAGATGTATATATAGACATGCACAGGCAAGTACCTGTTCACACAGGCACGTGAGCATGTGCACACGTGTGGGCTCACACACAAGCAGCTATACACACATAAATACCCAGACACGTGTACACATGGCACACACGGTATCTGTGGCTGCAATATCATGACAAACAATGTGGAGTAAATGAACTTCTCACAGGCAGACAAACTCTGCCGCCCTTGGATCTTGGATCTCTAGAATGCAGACTATGGAAGGGAAACACCATGAGACAGACCTACATCTTCAACACTGGCTTGCTACCCACTTTTCCCACCTGAATTCAGCCCATGTGACCCCAGTGCCCATTCATGAGATACTGGAGATGAATGGAGGACCAGATGAGCTGCCAGAGGCTACCTAGGGTCCCACAAGTCCTCCGCTCAGTCCACAGCTGACCCATGGCTACAGCATCACCCCCTAAGTCTTCCCAGGCTTATGGTACCAACCCTACCGGCTTCAAGCTGCCTCCAGCTGATGTCTTTGAAGAGGATGTTTGCCCTCAGTGCATCACAGGTCCCAGCCCGGAAGCCCAGGCGCTTCTCTGGGTCCTTCTCCAGCAGTGCCTCGCAGAAGTCTTTGCTGGCCTGGCTGAACTTGTCTGGGTATTTCACGGGCTCTGAGATGATGCGCTGCTTGAGTTCCTTGTTCTCCACCTACAGGGCAGGCAAACAGACCACTCCACTCAAGCCACGGCCAAGCTGTAAGCCTCACTACAGTGGGTGTGGCTGATGGCACTTTGGTGGGCATTAAAAGGCTCAAATCTCAGGACAAAGAGACCGAAGTCCCAAGGTGAAGCTCCCATCCGCCTTATCTGCACATGTACACAGCTAGTCCACTGCCACAGAAAAGGACCAGCTGTAAGGGCTTGGCCGGGACAGGGGTGAGGGTGCGGGGGTAAGATCTCACTCAGCCATCTGACAGAGACCTAAGGTGAGAGCTTGCCTTACTCCTCCTGTTTCACTCCTGGTCTCCCACACAAAGCGTCCCCCACACCAGTGTATGATAGGCACAGCGTGGCTTACTCCCCAGACAACCCTTGTGGCAAAACCGACGCCCCCATCCTCTCTCCTACAGGTATGGACAGAGCAGTGTAGCCCGTGAAACCTGAATGAGCAGGGCTGTTAGAGCGCACAGCTTGTCCCAACGCCTGCCACCTCTCACCATGGAGGCCTAGGCGTCTGAGACCCTACTCCAGGTGGGGTCAGGATCACATGACAGCATAGAGCTGTAAGCTCAGGCAAGGACAAGACAGTGACAAGCAGGTGGACCCTGTCCCTGCTGAGACACGGGAGATGGTCCCTGGCTTCTGTGTAAACAAAAATGAGGAGCAGGGAGAATGCCTGGGGTGCTGTTCGAAGTCCCAAGAGCAGTGGCCTGATGGCCACAGTTAGTTAGGGACCCACCAGTGGCCTCCTTTGTGTAGTCTGCCCCAGAAGGGCCTAATGCCCGCTATCTTACAGGGACACCTGGCCAGTCTTAGCTAGTGCATGTTTGCTCTGCCACCTGCTGCCTCTGGTGTGAGAGGACAGATTTAGAATTCCTCAACAATGCCACCTACAGGTCTCAGGAACAGGCAGGCCTTGGGATAGAACATCACCCAGAGCCTACACCCCAGAGCCTACACTGCTTATATAGTCCTTGGCACAGCCCACCCATCCACGTCTGCCCCAGAATGGACCCTTTCAGGACTTCCTGCCAGGCAGCACCTACCTTCTCTCCTCGGGCTCGGAAGGGTCCTCTGGCTGCAATCATCTCGTACAATGTGACCCCCAGGGCAAAGTAGTCTACAGAGAAGTCATATTCTTCCCCTCGGAGGAGCTCGGGGGCCATGAAACCTGCCATCATGAACACATGTAGGTTTCAGACGCAGCTGTTTTCCCACAGCATGGTCCCTACCGAGCAATCACAGAACAACTGAAGCTTTCATGATTCACCCCGCCCCCCCCCCGCCGGGGGGGTCTCACCACCAGTGATTTTGAGAACAGAAACCTCTTTGTTGTCACTGAGGGACAATTGAACTTAACCCTGGCTGCTACCCATTGGATGCCCACAGTTGTAACAACCAAAAATGTTTTCCAACATAACCAAATCTTCCTAGGGGCAGCATTGCCACGGTCAGGAATCTCAGTCCTCGTGTGTAATATGAAGCCTCCTTTCCCCTCCACGCAGACTCAGGACAATGCAAACAGAACGGCATACGGCGTGCAACTCTGGGGTAGACCGATGCAGACAGACCTTGCTGTGGCTTTCTGACCCCTCTCCTCTTACAAGGACGTGGAAGTGAGAGCCGTGCCCCCATGATGCAAAGTGGGCCAGCGACAAAGCCTGAGGGATGCCCTGAGGTCACAGTCCTATGCCTTCCTCAGACACTCTGTCTTCTTTTAGCACCTACAGGGAAGCCACAGCTGAGCTCTCTCGCAGCCCCTCCGAGAGCAGGGCACACACCTATCACGTTCAGCCTTCAGCAAGGTGTGGAGCAGCCTGATAATGAGGAGGGAACTTGACAGCGCAGACCAGAGGAAGCAGAGCCACTAATCTGGCTTCACAGAACAGCGCCTGATCACACAGCTGCTGAGTGGCCTTCTAGACAGACATGCCCTCCCTAGTCCTCCTAGCTGTCTGGTCACAACTCGGACATTTGTCTAAAAGTCTCAACCCCCTGCCACACAGCACACATGCTAATGCCCAGGGTCTACAACACAGTGTCTAAACCATCTCCTACCGCCCATCTTTGGAATTGTTCCTGGGCCCCTGGAGGATTAGCCCTTCTGGAAGGTGTGCTGTTGACAGTTCCTCCCGCAGCCATGCACGCCACTTCTCCACTCCAAGACATCACCAGTGTTCACTCAGCGCCACTCCCAGCGGTGCAAAGCGAAACCCTGATCATGTCACCCTTTGTCTTCAGAGTCTGGGATTTTGCAAACAGCATTGCTACAGCAGAGCCTGCACCCATGAGTTACTGGAAGAGGAAGCAAGAGGATTTCTGCTGCCCTTGTAACAAACTCGCCCCCTTGTGGCAGGAAGCGGAAGACAGAGGCCCACTTTTCTTGTACTCAGAGGAAGACCCTCTCCCATGCACAGCCTACAGCCGTGGCCAGAGCTGAGCGTGCAGAGCACGGAGAACTGTCTAGAACGGTACTCATTGGTTAGCACTTTTGGAACAGCAGCTTTTAGTTTTCCTCCTAACTTGGCATTTCCAGCCTATACTGGAGTCCCAGCCAAAGGTCCCCATGAGTGTAGAGATGCCACTGGATCCACCTGAAGAATCAGTGCCAGCTAGGTGAGGTGGTGATTAGGCAGGCAATGGTGCCCTCTTGTGGCCAGTCAGGCCTCATACTCAGTCCTGAGCAGGACCAGTTTCTGGTCTCAGGTCTTGCTTCAGTGGATCTGGTACTTGCAGTGGACTAAAGAGATCCAAGTGGAGTTTGAACTAATCCATGAAAGCAGGTGCTGTTCCATGGCTCCAAGACACGCTGCTTCCAGAATCCTCTTCTCAGATCTCTGTCACCCTGTGCCTTTCACGGGGCCCTCAGCACCCATCAGCAACCAAGACCCAAAGCTAGACTGTCACCATGCCTCCTGGGGACCAGTATGGATTTGCCGTACCCCAGAATGTAGGGGGAAGCTCTTGTCCCTCTGCCCACCATGGCATCAGAGACAGTCTCAGATGGTACCTGAGGCACAGGGTCCTGGTGACAGAGGGACCTTTCTGTAACCCAAAGCTCTATATATACTACCACTCTATATACATCCCAATATAGGTACTGTCTGAAGCCAGAGAGCCCAGGGAAGAAGGAAAATATCTAAGAAATTCTGTCAGACATCAACCTGAATATGACCATCTAGAATGTGGAGACAGGAAGGACTTAACTGTAGGTGTGTCTACTTCATGCAAGTGCCGGGTGTGTAGTCACTTAACAGACTCATGAGCCCATGTGTTGTGTTAGAACCAGGGCTCTGACAGATTAAGCACACCATCTGAGGTCATCTAGCCACAAAGCATGGTCCTGGATCCTCTCCACCTGACTCAGGTCTCTTCTCTCCTCTACACAGGCTGCGTCTCTCCTTTCCTCTGAAGAAAATGATGAAGGAAGCAAACCACAAACGGCCACAAGTGTGCACGCACTTAAACACAGATACATCCACAATCATACATATATGCACAAGTGTGCATGTATACAAAGCATATATACATCCAGAGATGCACACCTATATATGCACAGATACAGGTACTGAGCATCCACACAGAGATGCCTGTACACATTCACACATGAATGCACTCATATGTTCACAGGTTCATACATGAAATATGTACATCTACAGAGGTGCACATAGACATGTATATGCACAAAGACACATTTGTTAAGATGCGCACACATACATGTTTGCATATATGCACACAGAGACTATACATACACAGAGGTGCCTTCATACACATACGTGCATATAGACACACACAGAGAGTTGTGTGCCTACACACATGTAAAAACAGATATGCACAGGTGTTCACAGATACACATGCATGTACAGGCTCATGCTCATCCATACATGTAGGATATAAAGGCATCCATGTTCATACTCAGTCACACCTACAAGTCATACAACTATATACACCACATGAGAGCAAGCATACATGTGGGAATGTGTGTACACACAGGTAGGCATATGCACACACAGAGACACACATGTACATACCCTGCACATTGGTGGATACCTACCAGGGTTTTACTGATGCCTAGCAAGTGCTACCTGTCCCCAGTGCTCTGTGACATGACCCACACGGTGACCCCATGACTCCCGCTCTTCCATGAGACACCCTGGACAAACTCATTCTGTCAATGCTCAAGAAGCCACTTAGAGTGCAAGCCTTGCATTCTCTCTGCCCATCAAGGTGCCAAAGGAGCAGCTTTGCCCAGAGGGTGAGGCAGTAAGCCAGCGAGACTGCTAAGGCAGGGTAGGGGTTATCATGGCAGGGAACAAACAGTTCTTGAGCTGCTGGGCGAAACCTGATTGCCACTGTTTTCTCTAGGGGATAAGGGAGCCACGCTCCACAGCCCCCACTCTCTGTATTATCACCTTAGATCTTGGAGACCCTACTGCCACTGGCTCTGGAAGAGAGGATGTCCCAGGATGCAAAGCCTCTCCAGGCCCCTCCCCCAATCTCAGGTCTTACCTGGGGTCCCTGCATAGCCCTTGGTCTTATCCTGCCCTTCTATCAGCTCCACGGCCAACCCAAGGTCAGAAATTCGGATATTGCCTGAAAGTAAATACAAGCTGAGGTTACACTCACTTCACAGAAGAGAGGTGCCAGGTGAGTCCAGGGCTCGGCAATGCTCCCCTGCACAGTAGGAAAACACACTCCACATGTTCTATGTACACAAATACCACACTCTAGACACATATCCACTCTCCACAAAGACATATCATACACATAGTAGGCATTCCACACATACCTTACACACAAACGTGTAACCCCTGCCACACACATATATTCAGAAAGACAGACACACACACACCGCACAGCTTACACCATGGTCCTTTATACCCTAACACCCACTCGGCCCCTCTGCAGTGACTTTTGAAGGTGCTGATGACACCATGCTGTGGGCCGCTAGCGCTGCTGTGGCCTCCATCCCTCCAGGGCTCACCATCATTGTCCAGCAGCACGTTCTCCGGCTTGAGGTCGCGGTAGACGATGCGTCTCTGATGCAGGTGCTCCAGGCCACTGATGATCTGTGCTGTATAGTAGATGGCGCGTGGCTCTGGGAAGCCTGGGTTCTCCTCATCCACATTGTAGATGTGGTACCTGGGGGCCAAACACCACGGGAGGTACACACACCCCAGGACTTAAGGGCAGTAAACAAAGAAATAGCCTGGGTCTCAGGGCACACGTGTGTCAACACAGCATGGTCACCTTGGGACCAAGCATCAGTGTTCTCCTGGAGAAACCCAGGACTAGAGGCCTCAGAGAGCTCATAACTTTCCCATGACTGTTAGAGGACATACAAGCTTGTTACCTAACGCCTCCTTCCTTCGGACCCCAGAGCAATGCCAGGACAGGGGAGGGGAGTCAGCCTCACTTTCTTAAACACAAGTGGCTCCCAGCTCCCTAAGTACAGCTGTGGTCTGCTCCAGCAGACCTCGAACCCTTGGGTGGATTTGACGACGGCCCCTCCTTCACTGCGGACTCCTGAGGTCTGTCCTTTTTACACTCTTTCTTGCATATCCCACCTCAACACCTCACAGGGAAATGAAGCTCACAGCTAGAATGACCTAAGCTGCAGGGAGGTTGGGGGCAGACCAGGGGCCTGGAAGATAAGCAGAGGCCCCTGGGGTGGGGGATATAACAGCCTGCCATGCTAGAATCTCCCAGCATTCCTTGCAGCCCTCTTCCCCTTCTACAGGATTCTCACAGACTGGCAGTCTAACCCCCGTATTACTCATCTGAAGAAAAGGCAGACGACTCTGTCAACGGTGATGTCAATAAAGCAGAGGAGAGGGAGGGGCACAGGTATTTGGAAGTCATAGCTCCCATTAGTGACACTGGGCATTCCCAAGGCACCCCAGGGTCTCACCGTGTTAGCCTCCTGCACCAGGTACCCAAGAGTCTTGTCATTTTAACTTTGTGTGCCAATTACCCTAAGGTCCCACTGCTCCATCCTCCTGACACTGACTTGTCATTATTATTAGTTTCTTTTTAACAGAACAGGAAACTTGATGTAGGAGGGTCTTCTTTCTATCTGTTGTTTTATTGGTTAATAAAGAAACTGCCTTGGCCTTTTGATAGGGCAGAATTTAGATAGGTGGAATGGACAGAACAGAATGCTGGGAGAAAGAAGCAGAGTCAGGCAGTCGCCATGAAGCTCCGGCCCAAGATGGACATAGGATATAATCTTCCTGGTAAGCCATCACCTCGTGGTGCTACACACATTAATAGAAATGGGTTAATCAAGATGTGAGAGTTAGCCAGTAAGAGGCTAGAGCTAATGGGCCAGGCAGTGTTTAAATGTATACAATTTGTGTGTTGTTATTTCGGGTGTAAAGCTAGCTGTGTGGGAGCCGGGCGGGACAAAAAGCAGGCCTGCTCACTTCCTCACTACAGAAACTGAGAAAAAGAGTGGTGAAGTCACCAAGCCAGTGAAAGTCGTGACCTGACCTCCCCAAGGATGCAGGAACAACCTCAGAGCACAGTCAGGCTCTGCCACCCAGGCACCGTCAGGGGTGGTACTCTCCTATGTAGGCCATAGGCGAGTTGTCTCTAGCTGGTCTTCCAGGTCTCTGTCCCTACGGATGGAACTGTTCATTTTACTCTCTTAGCCCTCCCAACCCCCGGTATCCCCATCACAGCACCATGTGCCCTCTGTCACCTGTCCCCAACAATTGCAGGGATACCCAAGAATGGGCAATGACAGATACAGCCTAAGTCCTGGGCCCAACTGGACATGAACCGTGTGCCCTAGTTGAAACAAACCCCAGTTTTGGACACCATTACCTTATGTCACCTCCATTCATGATGGTCATCACCAGACAGAGGTCAGTCTTGGTCTCGAACGCGTAGGCCAGAGACACAATGAACCTACTGTGAACCTTGGTCAGGATCCTCTTCTCAACTATGGCACCCTAGAAGCAGAGTTGTGGTCCTCAGTCCTCAGGAAGGCACTGTGGACAGCAGCCTGCATGCTGGGCACAGCACGGGGCAGGCTTGTGATGGGTGGAGTATAGCATACATTCAATCAATCAGGGGTATAGCCGTGGTGTCCACCAGGATATCCCCATCACTGCCTCACCCACCCTCTCTCTGCGCCTTGCTCACTCCACCACCATCCGGTCCTCGCTTGTATCCTCGCTAACTCCCAGTGCAGCCCAAGTTTCCGGCAGACCATGCTTTATTGTTCATCTAAACATGGCAAGTGTGGAAGGGATGAGGACGCTGGGTGGAGCCAGTTCATTCTGCGTTTGTCTCATTGGGTCACTGAAGCCAGAAACGTTTCAACGTTGTACTGGGTTGCATGGAGGTGTGGGTGACCCAGAACTCAGACAGACATGGTCTCGCTTTGTAGTCCTGGCTCTCCTGGAACTCTCCATGGAGACCACTGGACTCACAGAGCTCTGCCTGCCTCTGCTTCCTGAGTGCTGGGATTAAAGGCGTGGGCCACCACGCCTGAGCATAAAGCTCTTCTTTGAAGATTAACATTAGACCACAGTGAGGTGCGGTCCCCACGGCCCCTGGTAAAGGTGCCTGGATTTGTCTGGCTCTCCCACTTGCTGTTTGTACCTAATGTTTGACCTCTCACTGACGTCTCAGGGCCCTGCTGGGGGCTGGTGTCTGCCCCTCAGAATTTCACAGCATTACCTATTCTGTTCGGTGGGGCTGTGTTCCTTGGACAATAAGCCGCTTTCACTGATCCTGCCTTAACCAGAAACTGACGCCACCAAAGAAGGAACTAAAATACCAGCAGCCTGCCTAAGTCCTCCAGCCATTCTTGTCCCCTGCAAACCTGTGTTCAGGAAAAAGTAGTCCTACACCCCTGCATCACAGATAGTTTCTGCCTCATGTCAACAGTGCCTGCCGAAGTGATGTTCCCCTGGCAGAGTCCCGCCTCACTTTCTCCTGCATGCAGTCGCAACAGGAGCCTCACTTTGAAGAAAATTCGAGATAGCCAGACACACTCCAGACAGCAAGTGGCTCTCCCCAGAACTGCTCCTCAGGGTGGGGCAGATGAACTACTCCCCAGCTAGTGGCTGCCTGAGCTGGGGGTTGGGGGAAGAGTGTCCAAATGGCAGGATACACGCACAGTAGCTAAGGCCCACGTAGACCTCCACAGATGGGTGGCCGACACCCTCCCATCCCTCCAGCCCGAGAGCATCTTCTGCAAGCCGGGCTCCCTACCTGGTAGCCCTTCCTTTTCTTTAGCCGCTTCTTGTTGAGCTTCTTGCAGGCGTACATCTTGCCGGTCGCCTTCATTTGGCAGGCAGACACCTCCCCAAAGCCCCCTTTCCCCAGAACCCTGAAGTCCAAGAACCAGTCTTCACCTATGGGCTGGGCTTCCAGCCATTTCCACTGGAGGAACCGCAGGAAGTACAGGCTTTCAAGGTACTCCTGAAAGGGGGCCTGGCTCAGGTGATCCAGGGTGGCCTGCAGCAGAGGCTGGAAGAGGCCATCTTGGCTCCCGGGGGGCCCTTCCCTCACCTTTGCCACCATGCCCTGGTCCAGAAAACTGCAGAAGTGTGAGGCCTGTGGGTCCAAGTACTCAGCCAGGATGGCCTGTGCCTTCTGAGGCCGTAGGTCATCATCGGCTGTGTCGTAGTCCTCAATGTCCTTCCAGAGCTCCAGAGCTGGCACGTGTCTCTCATCTGTCTTCAGGAACTGTTGGAACAGTCTCTTGCCAATGGGTTGCTCTGAGCACAGGCTGTCAAACTCCAGGCTGAGGCTGTCACGGAGACTCTCGCACTTGGACAGTGGGGGCAACCGGAGCTTGGCTAGATACTTCTTGTCCCGGGAAGAGGGGGTGCTGCTTCCGTCAAAGCTGCCACGGGCAGCGATAAAGGCAGAGTTGGCCACAACAGTCTCCAAGGACCCGAAATCCATCCTGATGATGTCTTGTGTCCCCTTCAAGTGTTAGGACCCATAAGCTGAGGTGAAGCTCAAGGTACCTGCATCGAAAGCAGGCCCGACCCTTTGCCCTTGGCCTGTGGCCTGTTCCTGCCCTTGTAGGACAAGGGAGGCATGTAGCTATGGCCAGGATGTTTGGGGAGCCTCTAAGAAGCCCAGGGAGACCAGGGCTAACAAGCATCTAGCTAAATCCCAGTCCTGGGGTCACCAAGGACACCTTAGGGGTGACAAAACAGGTGCCAGAAAAAGACAATCCCCTAAGCTGCTCCTAAGCGGATTAGAGTTCAGCTGGGCTCCCTCCCCCTGGGTGCTGCCTTCATGTTCCCAAGGGAAGGGCACACCGCAGGCTCCTAGAAGCCCCTGGGGAGCGGTTCTGTCTTTCCCAGGCCTTGGCAGGTGCACAGGACTTGTCTGTGTCCTGCTGGGATGTGGGTCTGCAGTAGAGGGCAGACAGTCCCAGCAGCCGCCTCCATTTGTAAAGATGGCTGTTTGCCACACTGTGTTTCCTTTTTATCTTCAAGAGAGTAGCAGGCCAGAAGCCTCCTGGTAACAGGAATGGGGAGGGGGAGCCCACAGTGAGCAGTTTCCCCATCTGTGAATGAGATCACGGACACTTGATGGTGTCTTCTTGAAGAAGTGCCACAAGATGGTTAGAGGACAAAGACAGGTACAGGAGAGCCACCGACCTTCACGTTGAGTCCCCTGTCAAGGCAGAAGACTCATGGGACATGAGCCGGGGATGCACCTAGGACACAGCTTGTTCAGGTGGGCATACCTGAGACAGACTTGGAACATCAGGGACATATCTGGGGCACACTCAGGACCCAGTGTAGACAGTAATCATACCCAGGACACACCCAGGAATGGTAGAAGGTAAGGGCATGTCACCATCTCGTGGGGCCTCAACTGTCATGTCTGTAGTGCTCCTGACAATTTGAGGAGGAGTCACAGGGAGGGAGCACTCACAGGGAGGAGAAAGGGAAGTCGTGCAGAATGAATGAAAGCCCAAGTCAGAAGGCTAAAGGAGCGTTTAGCCCACCCACCTCCTCTGAGGGGCAGCAGGGTGCATCAGGTGAGGACAGGGTCTCCTGTTGTGACTGCGAAAGAGAAAAGAGAACCTTCTGGTGAATGCCAACCCCCTCTCTCACCTCCCACCTCTTAGCAAAGGCTTGTGACAGGAAGATTGGCAAGTAAATATTTGAGGTAAACAATATCTCGTCCCCAAGTGACCTCTGCTAGTCCCAGCCCTGCCACTTAGCAGCTGGTGACCTTGGACAGACCATATCTGATTCTTGTACCAATCAGGACCAAAGGGGACATGGTTCTCAACCACTGGGTACCTTGTCAGCAGAGCCACCCAGAGCACTGAAATCCACATTCCACCTGGCTCAGCGGGCTGGCGGAACTCAGGCCTCCATTTCTGACAGGCTCCTGAGTGGTTTACATGGAAGCCGTAGAACAGGACCAGGAGAGGTTTAGGGCTGAAGAAATCCAGACTGCCTTCACACCAGGAAGGCCCCTTGTGGAGGGGGCTGAGGAGAATTTGGACAAGTTCGGTTCCTGGCCCAGAATATTTAGACAAAGTCTATAGTGTCTCCCAAACTCATCTCTGCGTATCCTTGTTATCTAAACCTTTGAGGTAATGACAGAGTACACACAGATGAGGGGTCGTGAGAAAAGGAGGGGAAATAAGGAGGGGGTCCCTCAACAGTAATAGTGGATACCTGACACAGGAGCATTAGATTCAGGGTACCCATGGCACCAGGACCCCTGAGCTGTCCTTTGTAGGCAAAGCCTTTCCCACACCCTCAGCCCTCCAGGAACCCACAGGTCCACTCTCTGTACTATTTACTGCAAGGGTGCTGTCTGAGCACGGGCCCTTTCTCAGGAAATTCTCTAGAAGTAGAGGCAGGTGCCCACAGCAAGCGCCTTCCTTCCTGTGCCTGACTATTGGTCCATGATCCATGCAGATGCTCCTGATCTAACCAGGCATCCAGAGAAGGACATTTGGTATTCTCTCCAGGTTTGGGCTGTTACTGTGTTTTTGTCTGTGGATTTCTACTTCTCTGGGATAAATGTCCAAGAGTGTAGTTCTGGGCAGATGTGTTTGATCTAAAAACATCTGGCAAACTGACTCCCAGGGATGTGCCTATCTCTCATTCCCACCAGCGGCCATTGAAGCCGGACACCCACGTCCTTTACAGGGCTGGAAGCTTCCTTGTTTGGCCATTCATTCTGCCCTGGTAATGTTCTCCATTAGCATATATTAATTGTATAAAACAATGAGTCTCTCTGTGACATTTTCATACATGCATAATGTACTCTGAACATATTCCCTCCCCCATTACTCTCTGGTTTCCCCTCCTCTTCCCACTGATTTCCTTCCCAAATAGTCCCCCTCCCCTCTATTTTCACGTTTCTGGTAACAGCCTTGTTTCTATTTTGTATATGTTGGGCAGAAGTGGTTCTGTCCAATTTGCAGGTTTCTTCTTATGGATTCCTTTCTTGGTGTTGAGTCTAGGCCTCTTTGCTAACCCTAGGTTCACAGATTCCATCCTTGCCTTCTCCTGAGGGTTAGTTTCACTTTTACATTCAAGATCACGATCCACCTTGAGTTCATTTTTGGAAAAGGTAGGAGATATAGTTGAAGCTTTTTTTCCAATGAAGGTCCAACTACTTCAGCACCATTTGTTGAAATGTAAGGGTGAAACAAAAGAACCAGCTCCACAAAGTTGCACATGTTCACGTGCACACACACATACACACGCACATGCACACACACATACACACGCACACACACACAATACACATACACACAGTAAATACACATACACTCACATGCACATTATAAACACACACACACAGTTCCTCACACACACCATAAAGCTTGTGAACAAATAATCTGCAATTTTACTTTATTAACGGAAAACATCATCAAAATAGTATGATGAAAGCCTAATGTTCCCATGTTGTGTTTTGCAGAAGATCTCAAGGTAAAAAGGCTTTTAGCATACTTTGCTCCAAATCCCACCATGGTCAGACCCAGGGCCACACCACAGCACACACTCTCTTTTTGGAGGAAATCTGGGTTGTGCTGTCAGGGACGTGTGTGTGTGTGTGTGTGTGTGTGTGTGTGTGTGTGTGTGAAAAAAATCTCATATATTCTTTAACTATTCCTCTGCTGTTGAGCCCTTAGGCTGCTCCTATAGCTCAGCTGTTGGGACTACAGCTGCAGTAAACACCGATGTGTGAGCATCTCTGGGGTGTGCTAACCTAGAGTCCTGTGGATGAATATAACCAGGAGTGGTCCAGTTGGGTCATAGGGAAGGAAGACCAGCTCTAAGATACCCTTTCAATGTCCTGTGTTCTCTCTGTGGTACCTGCTCCTGTTTAGTGGAAGGAGTTGGTGGAGGCAGGTGCTTTTTTTGGGTCTTTTCCCTCCTTGTCAAAGTCCAATGGATATTGACTTTCTGATCAATTTCCTCATCGTCCCTGAGCCTCCCTTCCTAGAAGCCTGTATCGCTGACTGCCCTGCTGAGTCAGTGGATTTCTCGGGCCATCTATTGGCATTTTGTGCCTCAATTCGACTCTGGCTTTACAGTCATCCATGGTCTTTGTCCACTGTCCATTTCTGTTCCCCATGGGTCTGAAGCTCACACAGCTTCAAGGGAGTTCTTCTGTCTTCAGCTTGAAAAGGTCCCAGAATTGCCCTAAAATCTTCCTACTTCTCTCCAACAGCCAAAGGCACAGAGCCCAGAAGGTTACCCTAACACAAACCGTAGCTGAAGCTAAATGATAGGGCAGGAGAACAAAGATTCCATTTGCTTATGGCTCAGGACAAAGCACAGTGTGGGTGGCTTCCCATGAAGTCCTTCTCCCTTGGTGATGTCACTAGAGCCTGTCTAGACAGCGGCATGACCACTGGGCCCTCTAGCCACCCAGACCCAGCGGCATGACCACTGGGCCCTCTAGCCACCCTCTCGGGCAGGTTTGCCGGCAGCACATTCTCTAATTTTCCCCCATTTGACAATGCCTAGATTCCCCCTTACCTCTGAAGATTTTTTTTCTAGACGTAAGACTCTGGCTTGATCATTCTTTTCTTCAAGCACTTTTAAAAAAGATTTATTTTTCTTTCATGTGTTTGGGTATTTTTCCAACATGTATGTAAGTGCCCTACATGTGCCCATGGGGATCTGAAGAGGAAATCAAATGCCCTGGACCTGGAGTTATGGATGGTTGTGAGCCACCATGTGGATGCTGAGAACCGAGCCCAGGTCCTTCATAATCACAGTCCATGCTCTCAACCACTGCATGTGTCTTCAGTCCCCTTTCAACACTGCAAAATCTTTGTGAAATTTATGCTGGCCACTAACACCATACGTGGAGGAGAGGGGGATTTTAAAACTGCCAGGTGGGGTAGAAGTCTGGGGCTCCTTTTCCTGGAGCTGTTTGGTGGGGCACCCAGTTCTGCCTTCCCGGAGTGCACTATGGGAAAACAACCCTCTACCAAGATCTCGGTCCCTGATCCCACAGGCACATGGTCGGGTCACTCTGACAGTCTGTGTGTGGTCCAGAAACTCAGAGGTGGGAAGATGGAGCTCAGTGAGGTTCAGAAATGGCTCACGTTTTGCTCACATGTAGAACATTTCCATGCCCACTAACAGATGATGGTTAGGTACTCAGGTGCGTTCAGGAACCTCTTGGCCAATCCGCAGGCTTGGGTCTACATATGCCAGCTCCAGCCCCACAGGTATCTTCAGGTGCCCACACATCTGGCTCCAGACCTACAGGCAATTTCCAGACCCTGCACATCTGGATCCAGGTCCATGGGGGCACCTTTAGGCCCATGTAAGATGGGTCCCAGGTTGCAGGCACCGTAATGTACCGACACATAGGCCCTGGACTCACAGGTTGTGAGTGGTGAGATCTCAGCCACTGCTGTTCACTTGCCATTACAATCCTAACATCATGAGAGG